TTGAGGACGTTCTACTGAACGCTCTGGGAGGCTTTCAGCGTGCTGACGTATAGCCTCTTCCAGGCAACTGCGTGGCTGATTTAAATTATGTTCCCGATATTGCCTTGCTTGTCGATGATGCCCAGAGAACACAGGCCGTCCTAAACCGCTTGGTGCTTAAAGCATCAAAATATCGAGTGACCTTTACCTCTACGAAATGCAAAGTCCTGGTCCTGGATTGGCATCCACCTGCCTGGTGCTCACTCTTCAAGATACGCAGCTTGATCAAGTGGCCAACGTTGTTTACCTGGGAAGCTGTGTCTCTGCTGATGGTAGCATTGAAAGACAGGTTTCCCCCCGTACTGCCAAAGCCTGTTCGGCGTTCGCAAAGCTGAGGTATCTGTGACGACGCTGCGAGGTTCCCCTATTGGTAAAGGGCTGGGTCTACAATGCCTGCGTTCGCACCGTGCTGCTGTATGGGAGTGAGTCCTGGCCGATTCGTGTGAAATGCTTGCTTAGGATTTCGGACTTTGATAATGGATGTCTGCAGAGAATAGATCGAATGTGGTGGATGAACCACTTATGCAACGACGATATTAGACGTCGCGTCTTGGGTAACACGGGACTTCCACTTGACAGACTAGTACCGCTGCGTCAACCGAGAGGGATGGGCCACCTCTTCCGCATGCCGTGCGGCTGCCCCCCAAGCGCTCTCTTCATCCGCACAGGAGCAGGCTGGAAGAAATCGCGCGGTGGTCAGCCTATCAGGTGGCGACAAAAGGTTAAGGCGCTGAGTTCCAGGTTGGCTGTCGTAGATCCAGTACATCATCCGGGCAGGGGTATCAAAGACAAATAAAACCGTTGGCTGGAAACACTTTTCGGTAATGGCGCAGAACCGGGACCAACGGAAATTGTGTATGAATATTTACTGGTGGTTTTTGTGCGTAGTGTAATTTTCGTAGAAAGTAGAAGCCACGGTTAAACTTTGCACATTAATCTGCCTCGACGGGGAATCGAACTCCGGCCACACGGATTACCGGTCCGCTGCTCTTTGAACACAGAAACTTCGGTTCATTGGGAAGTAACGAATCAGTGAGCCAGTCTGCAACATCAGGACAGATACTGTGAGCTTATTGGCAATACGTCGCAAACCAAGCAGAAGTCATGGATTAAATTGCGCACCTGATCGTCAGCCCTCGGTAGCTCAGTGGTAGAGCAGTGGACAGGTACTCCGTACGTCTGGGGTTCGATTCCCTGTCGAGGCAGATTATTGTGCAAAATTTAATCGTGGCTTCTACTTTATACGAAAAGAGGTATACATATTTGCATTGATTGCTTTGATCAATATCACAAACATTAAACAAACAAAAATGGCGAAACTGTCTGTGAAAAATGTAAAACGGTGGGTCTCCTTCAGCCATTTGACCAAGGCGGAGAGAATACAGAGGTTGCGATATGTTAACATTTCGATTGTTCTCTTCATTCGCAAACAATATACGAGCAGAAACACACAAACGATTATATACGTGGAAAAATAAGCAACACCAACCAAACTGTCGCAGTCAAGACCATGACAAGCGAATTGATTGCCTCAGGAGTTTCTGTGCACATAGCACAGGTTGATAGGCCTTAATTAACAACGGCTCACTAATTGCCAGCATTATCGGGTTTTTGTTACGTAATAACACTTTGAACGCTGTCTCGGAGTGCACCTGATGACGGGTTGCTATGGGGTGATAGATAGACGATGCCGGGCTCCGATTAGGTCTCAGATCCGTCCCATTTCGTTGCGTAATCTCTTGTCCCAACCACTTTGGCAAATGTTCAACTACCGTTGGAGTTAACCGACGGTTTCTTCTGCTTATGTGTATCTTACCGCAATCCCAGGTGAACTGATAACCTGATAGGCCGAACTACCCGATGAGATGCTCTGATGGTTATGAAGAACAAGCCCTCGCCTTGGATGCCTGAGTCGCAACTGGGGTGTCGAGTAGGTGCGCGTTAGGGCGGACCGGAGCTTGTGTCCGATACCATTTACCACATAGTCTCCCTTGAATGGCAAGAACAAACAAGCCCATTTTTCTCAGACGTCAGCACCGGTGTTTTCACGTTAGAAGGTCTGCTGTTTACTTGTATAAACTTCTCAGGATATCCATTAGAAATTAAGGTCTTGCGTAGAATTTCTTCTTCGGATTTTAACTTTTCGGGCTGCAAATACGTCTAGCCAGGTAGAGAGCAAGTTAAAAATGTCAAACAATATTTAAACGCATAATGCTTTTAGCATATATATATATATATTAGCAGCAGTCTATAGGATGGACATAGGGTCAGCGAAAACCATGCCATAGAAGTAATAATTACAAAGACCACAAAGAAGAAAAAAGATAAATTTTACAAAGCAAAGCCTTTTGCAATAATTAGTTCTCGAAGCAAGTTTTAGCACTTGTGTTAAGTTTTCTGCTAAACGCATTTTGCGTTTAATTATTGTTCGTTTTTTTTCACACTTTCTCTACCGGGCTAGACGTATTTGCAGCCCCGAAAGTTTAAAATCCGACAAGGTAATACCTCAGAATTTCGTAGATCTCAGCTCGGATTAGATTCTTACTGCTTTGGTGCCTAGATGTTGCTCGTATCTATTGGGAGGGTTAAGGTAAATTTATCGGAATTTGTCTCGCCAATTTGGAAACTGTCCCACAGAAGACCGGCGATTGCTTTCGCTATTGCATCACCTTATTGTAGAAGCAAAGATAGCCATACATCCGGTAAAGTGCCGAATAACCTGGTTTTTCTTGCATCCTCAGGCGAATACCTATATCATGCTTGGAATATAACGAGATTCAACCTGACCTGGTTTACCAAGAAGAATGTCGTCACGTCTGCGCACCGTGCGAACGTGCATATCCAGCGGCAATAGATGCTGCTTCTGCTTCTTGTCCATATCGATCGATTCGGGTTGAATGATTCCACTTGACCTAGCTGCCACGTGACCTCATTCCGTGGCGCAAGGCTGGCTATCGAAGTCGCACAAGGTAAGCAACAAGTCCAGACAGCTCGGAGGATAATATCCACTTTAACTGATTGTAAGTTGGTAGCGTGCTTTCAGGTTTTGATTTACATGTGTTCGCGTGGAATGCAGAAAGCATTCGATGTTTTGCTACTTTATTTTTATTTCCTTCCCCTTATATTTCAAATCGAGACGATACATTTCTCTCGGTTGTTGTGAAACGCGGGTGATTTATTTGCATAATAGAGGTCAGCACACAGCGATGCCATTATTTGTCGCACAGTTCATCCACTCTCCCCTTTAGAAGAGGAAAACTTGTATTTTATTAAAGGGTTAACAGTGCCTTAGATATTTCACCTTCTATGGATACGATTAATCAGTGAATTTAGATTGGTGTGTCTACCAATTGGCGTACAGAAAGGGAGCGGCGGATCGAGGTTGGTGTACTGATTAGATTAAGCTAGAGCTAAACCCAGAGGGCATTAAGATGGCGAAATAGAAAAAGGTGTCTGTGAAGATCGAACTGTAAAATGCCTGATCAGTTTGTAACTATATGATGAAATCATATGACACTATAGCTACCTGCGATACGCCGCATTCGTGTAGTGAGGTACCGATTAAGTAACGAGGAAGTTGGCCGTGTGGCTTGGGTACTATGGTTTGTGGTGCCTCGTTTGAATGCCCATTGAAGTAGAATTGTCTCCGGTGGCTCGGTTTTGTGTTTCACATACCTGTCAACTGGATAGCTGAACCTGTCTGACTTATCAGTACAGCGCCGCACTATGCAAAACCCCGAGATTGTCAATGAGTGAGATGGTAAATTGGCATGAATACCGAGAGGCCAAGTACCATGGAGACCACAAGAGCACCTAATTCCGCAGCTGGAAACTCTTTCGGATATGGTATCCTCACGAAATCGGTGATGCGGCAACATTAATTTCGCTTTTCACTGGTTGTCAATTGCTCTAGGTAATGTGATCAGCTCTTGATGATTTCTCTTAAATTATGCTGTTGCTTAACACGTTATCATTAGTATTCTTGTTGTTGTTTGAGAGTCTGATGTCTGGCTTCATTAGTCCGTAAGACAGTTTTGACCACACTTCCTCCACAACGAAAGAACTTTCCCAGTTTCGGCAGACTTACGCATGGACGCCCGCTGCTTTAGGCCAGACCATGTCACCAAGCTTGGACGGACTTCCGAAAGGCTTTCGCGCAAATTAACCGACTCATTGTAGGCACAATGCAAACAGGTTAGTTGGTCAGTCTGCTTGGCTGAACTATCAGCTGTCATTGACAAACGCATTAGCCTGTGTTTCGCTTACTAATAACGAACACCATCAGGTCTTCCATCAGCACTCAATGTTAAGTTCATACCAATCAATGTGTAGATTAAGTTATCACTCTGCGAACGGTTGGATATCTGAGTGCTGCTTGGTAGTGTTCGATCGTCGCTGAGCTACCCCACTTGATTCAGTTAGAAATAAACTTTATCAGGCTGTCACTCGGCAACCGAAACAAAAGTTCTATGGCAATCGGGAAGTTTGGTTGTCCCAAAGTGTGTTGAGAATATTCGCGGGCAGTCGCAACTCATTAGGATTACAAGACACAGCAGGTCTGGGATCAGCGTGGTCATCTGTGGGTCGGACGGGTCGCGAACACTAACAAACGTAATGGAATGGACAGATGTGCAAGGAATTTCCAGGTGCAATTCACTCAGTTCTCTCCGTCCATCACTGCATTCAGCACGCCCGTTTTCATATCATGGCCATTATCGCTAGAACCACTCAACGAAGCGTAGGCTTGCCATGAGATTTGACACTTGAGGTGCTTTAATTCTGTAGGCTGTGACACACTTCCCCCAGATATGTTTAACTACAACGACACATCAGTTGTCAATCGGTTAATGTCTTTGTTTCCGAAGAAGTGGGAAGAAAAACAAGTACCCTCTTCTTAATGAGTGTCAGTAGTGATGGGTGTGCGTGGGTAGAGGTGCGACGTAGCAGTAGATGTAAAGCGCATGGGTTTGTAGGGGGCGCGATACTGATCGTTTATATTCTGTAGCCATAGATTCTTTTAAAAGTCTATATGTATATAAATACATATATATTGGCAATTGTCCATTTGATGGACAGAGCAATCTGAAACCATGAAATGAATATAAGTAATTAGTACAAAACTTACGAAGGGAAAAGCGGAAAATAGGGTTTTCTGAGATTCTCACACCGGTCTTGTTATTCTCATAGTTTAATAGTTGCAGTGTTCATCAGGAAAATAAAGATATAACTTTATTCAACTCCTCTACTGAGCCCGATTTTGCGTTATATTCTTCATGTTTGGCCCCCAGCCTGGATAAATTACGGGACTAAAGTGGCTAACATGTAAATCTCAGCTTTGAATTTTCCGATGTGATTTACCGTGAACAGTGAACAATGGTTTTATACAGGTTAAGAGGCATTGCTTTGCAACCCCATTTTGGGTGGTCTGATTGGTTAGTGAAAAAGTTAATGAAAAATAGTTAGTAGTTTTTAATGTCAGAATAATGGACTTAACGTTTTTGCTTCAGTAGCTCTGCCTCTCGAGCGGTTCCATAGCTTCAATAGGCGAAAAATATTAAATCCAAGGTATATCCCGAGAGCAGGGTGGAGAGTAGTGTCAAGTAACAAAATGGAAGTGGCGAAGTGTGTCATCCAACTGACTTTTAAATGTGGCCAGCGTGAGTGCAGGAACAAAAGATACTGGGAGAGCATTCCATGATTGACATACACGAATGGAAAAGTAGTTTCTACGGCTCGCCAGGCGGCTGTACTGTTTTGCTAATTTCAAAAGGTGACCTCTAAGCTTTGTTTTACTGCTGAGTTGCAGTAAAGAGCGGCACACATGATTTGGTTGTGTATAATAAAATACACTGTAAACAAGTCTCCTTTTACGGAGACGAGAACTGGCCCATTCGTAAATATGACTTGCGCAGGTCAGCCGTCTTCGAACACCGCTGTCTGTGACCCATTACCCGTGTGTGGTGGCGGCGCTACGTAAGCAATGTGAAAGTTAGACAGCCTGTCTCGGGACGTGGAAGCCACTTGCTCGACGAGCTCGTCTCACTGCATCAACTGCGGTAGTTGGGACACGTATTGCACAAGCCTGTCCAGCGTTACCCGAGTCGTGCGTTGCTTACGGTTGCTGGATATGGCTGGAAGAGACGGTATAGTGGACAGCCTGCGACTTGGAGGAGTCACATGAAAAAGCTGACAAAGCGGTTGGCCTCGGCCGGTTGTTGTTGCCTACCTGGTTGAGGTCCGAGAGATATGGATACTTGCTGTTTGAAGACCTTGGAAGCCATGGCTCAAGATTGATGTCAATGGAGGACGTGTGTCTCGGTGTGTTGCGATCTCCCTCCTTCCTCTCCCTAGAAAAACAAACTGAAAAATATTTCAAAACTGCGCATGACAAACTGAACAAAAAAGGCTGCTGCTGTTGTTGTTGTTATTTGCATATTCTTTATACTGTTTTCCTATTCAGCCATGATTCCGATGGCACACTATCTGTAACACAGCTTGTGTATTATATACATATATATATATATATATATATATATATATATATATATATATATATATATATATAAATGCAGATTAAGACACCAATAGGAACCAGATCGACAAGGAGAAGACGTGGTCACTCGACCGACTCACGTAAACCAATCGAAGGCTGGCGTTCGAAGCAGGTAACAATCACAAGTCATTCGGATGCGGCATTGGTTTGCGCGACTCTGCGAATCAGGACTGCATAATCTCACTGAATATGTTGCCTAGTTTGGTAACGAAACGTCTGCAACCGAAAATGCCCGGCTCGGAGAACAGGACAAATCCCGAGGTACAGGTACTCTTAATAATTTCCAAACAATTCGTGCGCGGTGCGCTAAAATCCGCCCGCCGATTGGAGACCTTTGCTAGCCGGCAATCCTCTACTCACGAGCTACTCTACTTCCTGCACGAGTGTTTGGGAAGACTTGTCCTACCACCAAGTATGCACTACCGTCCACGCATCAACAATCCTTTGGCTTGGAAGATCACAGAACAACGTAGACGACGAATGCTAAGTCTGCTGATCACAATCGATGCACACAATCGATGGCAAAAGTATCCAGGGGCAACCGACCAACAAAAAGCCATATGTTTGTTCTACCTCGGGGAACACTTAACCAGGGAGCTTGAGAAAACCATTGTCATTAGAACCCATAAGACCAAAGTCCAAACAAAGCAGAAACTTAAAAGGAATTTGAACAGAATCTCGCAACACAAACCAGAAAATGACGAAGACGTATGAATTAAGAATTTATCCAAACGTACTCTATCAGATACAGAAAGAGCAGTTATCGTGCGAGGTTCTCAAGTTAATTACAAAGTTTCTAATCCCATTTATTTCCTTACCCCACTTGAATCAACGCTGACCACATCAAACATTGCAGTTGAAGTCCAACTTTCAATCAGACAGCATCATCCCGAATCTGAGTCACAAATTGGAAACCAACACATTCAATATAAGCGAACGAAAAGGCACTACCAAGACTACTGGTGTAGTACCGGCCGACAAGGGACGTCTCATTTTCATAAGGGATAAAACTGACTAGATGAAGAAAGCACAAGAACTGTTCGGAGATGTGAACACCTAGCAGCCGATAATTAATGACCCTACAAAACATCTGGAAACCAAAGTCAACAAAACTTCAAAAATTGGTGGAACCAATATCACGAAGTTAGAACACAGCAAGTTGAAACTCGAGGATTCAATGCTAGCACGGTGCTACGGCCTATCCAAAGTAGATAATAATGAGATACCGCTTCGCCCTATCGTATCATTACCCAAAACACCGAATTACAAGCCATCTAAGGAACTGTGGAAACGGTTGAAACAACTAATGATAGGCTCAGAGCACTCAGTCCAGTCGGCAGAATAATTCGTTAAACAAATTAATGGAATAACAATGGAAAGAGTTGAAATACTCATCACCTTTGATGTTACAGCTTT